TTCTAAGGGTCCTAAATTCTTGAAAAAAAAAAACCCCACCTTTATAAAGATAGATAGGTTTATTACTGAAAGTGCAATATTCATATATATGATTTGTTAAGTATTACCAATGTAACACTTATAAGTAAACGGCATCTCAAGCCATGTGTATGACTCAGTGCACAGTTTATAACTGTGATTCTTCCAACAACGGCAGAAGAGGGGAGGGCTTTTCCGTTGTTTAATTCAAATAATATTCCATGAACATAAATTTCATTCCTTTGTGATTTTATAGGGTTCTAGCATTTCATTCTAAAGAGAAAAAGAAATAAACCACACACCAGGGGACTTGTAAACAATATTTCAAATCTTTATGGTATTACAATCTTACTTAAACATTATTACAAAGATCAGATCAGTAAATAGAAAAAAAAGTAGAGCAATCTCCTTTTAAATTGTTCTTAGAAATAAGTTGTTTAAAATGCTACAGACATTTTAGCTCTCTATGTATACATTTGTATATTCAGAAATTTCATGTGCTCAATCTCAGTATTGTAAGGTAGCTGGGTTTACTGTAAAGTTACCTCTTTTATCCAACATTAATAACCTTGAAGTATAGTCTATTTCCAAACAACTAAAATTTAATTGATATTACCAATGATATTAAAAGGAAACAAAATTTTAATCAAGTATAATTCATAATTGATAATCATCTAATGGGTTATTTTTATTTGTAATTCTTGGAAAGAGTTAATGCTGTTATTTCCATTCCAATCTCCTGACTATACCAATCTAGATTTGCAAATGCCTATGTGAGTAACAAGCACTCGTAAGCCCCCTTTTCTATTATTGCACTCCTGGTGTTTGAAATATCGGCTATCTTCAGAAGACAGAGTTAAATATACAAATATTTGGCTATTTAATCAGAACATGGCCCTTACTTGGGGTGTGAGAAGATATTGGTGCCTCTCTCATTATACTCTCATGACAAATTAGAAAAATAATCCTACTCTATCATGGAAATGTTAGTTGTTAATATTTCTGTATATTAGTGGGAAATTTAAAATTATTTTTTTCTACTTTCAAATTTTGTGTGTCTTTTTTCATACAGCTATGAAATACTTCTAAATTTAGTGCTGTATTTATACAACTACTCAATTTTAAGTAAAATGTCTGTAGAATGAGTATAGATATATAAGATACATAACTATTTTAATTATTTGTTTTTAAAAGTAAGTTCAGATTGAAGTGTATTTAAATGATCAATGTGAATATTTTCTACAGGGTTAGGAATGGGATGCAAATAGTTATCCACTCGAAAATCTTTTATATAAACCTAATAGATTAAGGCAGGTCTACCAAGTCACCAAGTAATCATACATCAAAATAAGATTTGACATACTATATTAACATGACTTCTTTTACATATTTTGGATAATATCTATAATATTTGGGCTGCCCAAAGGCTTGGGGACACACACACACACACACACTGTCTCAGAAGTAACCATGAGAAGGATTTTATGACTTAATATAATAGGTTACTATAAATTAAGAAAAGCAATATATAATGGTGATGTCTTTTATGGACCTTGGCTTTTTTGTCCTTAGGAATTCCCAGAAACAACCATTCATCTGTTTTTAAAAAATGTTAAAGCAATTGTGTATATACAGATGTTCTGAACATCCAGTTCCTCATTACAGAATCTGCTTTGACATATTTAAAAGCTAAAAAATAATTTCATGTAGTATATTGATTCAGTGCCCTAATGTAACTGCCATGTAAGAAAATACATGAGCAATCCACAAATTGCTTATTTGTAACAGCGTAAGACAGTCAGCAGAATTTGTAGAGCCAATGTCATTGATTTGGAATCTACATAATAAAGGTTTATGTACCTTTCAAGAATGGTAACCTGAAAAATGGAGTCAATCTATTTCAAAGGAGCAAATCTTCCTTAAATTGGCATTACAACTTCTTACGAGAGTTTAGAAGGAGTCTTTAATGATCCTTCGTAATTAATAATCCACGTAAGAATAAAAATGGTTGGAGAAACCACTGTCTCCTCCCCAAACTTCCTCTTCAATTAAAGGACTCCACTAGCTGCTTCCTAGATGAAAAACACAATATTGATGCCAATAGCCACACATCTTAGAAAGATAAAATTGCATATATTTTTAAGTGCGTTTTTAATCTTCAGCTTTGAAAACTGAGACTTTTATTCGTTGGCTAGACTTGTCACTGAAATCTAAGCTTACCATATTTAGCCTTGTAATCTTAAAATAGATAAAGAAAGGGGCGCCTGGGTGGCGCAGTCGGTTAAGCGTCCGACTTCAGCCAGGTCACGATCTCGCGGTCCGTGAGTTCGAGCCCCGCGTCAGGCTCAGGCTCTGGGCTGATGGCTCAGAGCCTGGAGCCTGTTTCCGATTCTGTGTCTCCCTCTCACTCTGCCCCTCCCCCGTTCATGCTCTGTCTCTCTCTGTCCCCAAAATAAATAAACGTTGAAAAAAAAATTAAAAAAAAATAGATAAAAAAATAATGGGAAAAAACTTCATTTCTTCTGAATTTTACAGAATGGATGAAACTGTGGTTGTTTTTCAGTCAGAAAGAAGTCAGGGTATGTGCACAGAAAAAGCTGAAATAAGGCCTGCAAAGCAGGCACTTTTGCTTAGGTAGAAAAGTCTCTACATCCCCTCAACCATACCCCAAACATTGCTTCCACAATTATCTTTGCCGTCAGATTTTTCTGGGCACTCAATCCCCCTATTCTCACTTAATGAAAAGTGGGGAAAGTCTGGCTCATACCATTTGTTAGAAAGATTAGATTTAGCCTGATGTGGGGGCACCTGGCTGGCTGAGTCAGTAGAGGGCGTGGCTCTTGATCTCAGGGTTGTGAGTTCAAGCCTCATGTAAGGCATAGAGATTATTTTAAAAAATAATCATTTAAAAAATAAATTAGGCTGACTATATTCACCTGGTAATGTTGAGTGGCATGGACACCGACAAAATAATTATAAAGCATTTGAGGCAGTGTGAATACCACATGGGGTTAGCCATCCATATATATAACAGTTCTATTTTGTGGGGACTATCTAATAGGTATCATTAAATTTTGTTTTTCAACTAATAATTTAGGAAGTTTTCCCTTCTGAAAAACGGAAAGCAGAGAAACTGCTTTTTCCACACACAGAGAGAATTAAGATGGAAATAAATATTCTGAGGAAGTCAATATAGGCATATGTCTGGAAATGTTGCCCCCTTCCTTCTTGAAAGATGTAACACAGCATCCACACAGTTTACTCTCTCGTGTACCCAAGACTCACTTGGAGCCAGCTGGATGTAGAACCAGTTTTATTTAGGGAGAATCCTGCTGGGGCACAAAGTGGGATCATCATAGAAAACAGTGAGATTCGATGGGTAAGCTGCTTCTCCCCGAGAGTAGATTTTGATTATACAAGAAATTGGATTTTATCCTAAATATGAGTCTCTTTTTGGGGTGCCTGGGTGGCGCAGTCGGTTAAGCGTCCGACTTCAGCCAGGTCACGATCTCGCAGTCCATGAGTTCGAGCCCCGCGTCAGGCTCTGGGCTGATGGCTCAGAGCCTGGAGCCTGTTTCCGATTCTGTGTCTCCCTCTCTGTCTGCCCCTCCCCCGTTCATGCTCTGTCTCTCTCTGTCCCAAAAATAAATTTAAAAAAGTTGAAAAAAAATTTTTTAAATAGGAGTCTCTTTTTTATCAACGTATCTGCTTTCATTTTCCTTTCCTGAAAAAAAGATGCCTTAATGTGGATGTTGCTAGAACATAGTGGCTATAATACTTGTGTTTTCTAGAAAGAAAACCATCAAATGTGGTTGTGGATGTAGTTTTTCAGATGAATCCAGATGGCAAGTTCCATTGAAGACATCACCATTGCAAATGCATACATCTTAGGTAGTAGGAACCTAGTCTGACCAATGATTCTAGCTAAAGCTAAATCAATCTTCCAGTTAGACAACTCTTGGCACATTTCAATTTGAATAGCAATGCCTGTAGAGAAATTCACACATTTCTATCAAAAGCCGGGTTTTTTAGGCCATTCCTAAAACATTCTCTCCTAAGTGACTGAAAATACCAGAAAGAATAAGATGATGACTTATTCTCTGGATGAAATCTACAATTATTCCTAAAACCTGTTATAATATAGTGATTTGGGGGAAAATGTAGTGGAAATACCTTATAACCATAGTAGGACTGAGCTGGGCATATCTCAGAGAGTAAGTATGCATACGTGCGGGGGGGGGGGGGGGGGGGGGGGGGGGGGGGGGGGGGGGGG